ATGTCTGGCTAATTTTTGTATTCTTAGTAGAGACAGGGTTTCACCATGTTGGCCAGGCTGGTCTTGAACTCCTGACCTCAGGTGATCTGCCCACCTCAGCCTTCCAAAGTGCTGGGATTACAGGCGTGAGCCATTGCACCTGGCAAGTTGTTGGGTTCTTAAAAACATGATCATGTCTTATTTACCAATAGTACTGTGAACTAGGCAGGGCAGGTATTCCCATTTTACAAATGAGGAAGTTTGAGGCTGAGAAGACAAGTAACTTACCCAAATTGCCCAGCTGGTAGGTGGAAATGGTGCAGTTTGACCCCTAGGTCCCTGCCTTGAAATCCATCCAATGTGTTATTCATAGCTGCCGTAGGGTACCAGATGAGGACAAACGTAGTTCAGTGCTACCCATGAAACAACTTACTGCCCTTGGGTGGTTCCTGTAGAACCTCTAGGAAAGGGAAAAGGGAAGGAAAGAGGAAAGTAGAAGGAGTGGCGGGTGGTAGGAACTGAGGGGTGAGGGAGACCAGAAAACCTCACTGTGGTGTGTCTGTTTCTCCCAGGCATCATTGACAGCACTGTTGGGGAACAGCGGCAGGTTGTGGCTGTCACTGGTGATGGCACAAATGACGGACCTGCTCTGAAGAAAGCGGATGTTGGTTTTGCCATGGTAAGCTCAGCACGGCGTCTCTCTGATTGCAAGCTGCCTTCTCCATCAGAAAGCCAGGTCCGGCTTCTGGTTGCCTGCTGCTTGCTACACCGGCATAGCCCACGGGGTGCTTTTTTGTCCAACTCCATCTCTCCTATCTACCTGGTCAATCATTATATATGTAATTGGGGACCCATCAAGTATGAAGAGTAGATCAGAGGGAGGAAAGTCATGAAGGATCATATGCAGGAAAGCCAGACCAACATAAACTTGCCCATAAACATGTGATGTTGTCGACTAGGCAAACTCTAGAAGATTCACGTTTCCTATGGGAAGCGCACTGTGTGGCTGGCACCACTGGGTACTCTGCTTTTCACTTCTGAGGCCAAGAGCATCAGAATCACTTGGAAAGTTCATTTAAAATCACATGTTCCAAGGCTCCGTATTTCTGTTTTTCATTTAACTTTAAAATTATATATTTCTTTTTATTCCACTTTTAGAAGAAATAATAATAAATAATAATTTTTAAAAGAATTATAGATGTCTAACTTCCTAATTTATAACTTTCGAATTTTATTTTATTTATTTATATATTTATTTATTTATTTTGAGACAGAGTCTCACTCTGTCGCCCAGGCTGGAGTGCAGTGGCATGATCTTGGGTCACTGCAACCTCTGCCTCCCGGGTTCAAGCAATTCTCCTGCTTCAGCGTCCTGAGTAGCTGGGATTACAAGCATGCACCACCACACCCTGCTAATTTTTGTATTTTTTAGTAGAGATGGGGTTTCGCCATTTTGGCCAGGGGGTGTCTCGAACTCCTGCCCTCAAGTGATCTGCCCACCTTGGCCTCCCAAAATGCTGGGATTACAGGCATGAGCCACCACACCCTGCTTCTAATTGTATTTAACTTCCCTGATTTTATGTTTGTATCCCTTAAGCTGAAAATTTTGATTCCTAATGGCATTAACATGATTATTTTTTGTTTTATTCTAAAATATTTCAAGTGGTTACAAAATATCAATAGTATTAATAATACAATTACTCTGCCAAAAACAATTCAATATTTTTCTTATAGTTCCTTTTATCCATAGGTATATGCTACCAGGAATGTGCCATCAAATTATTGTTTTTAAGGCATTTGTAACATTTTTTTGTGTGCACTTGTGCCACCAAGTGGTGACCAGATCATTTATATCATGTTACTTTCCATTTTAGAGATTGCTTTTTAGGCCAGTGTGGTGGCTCATACCTGTAATCAATCCCAACACTTTGGGGGGCCAAGGGGCAAGGAGCACTAGGAGCCAGGATTTCGAGGCAGGCAATATAGTGAGACTCCCATCTCTAAAAAAAAATAAAAATTAGCCAAGTGTGCTGGCACATACCTGTAGTCCCAGCTACTCGGGAGGCTGAGGTGGGAGGATTGCTTGAGCCCAGGAGTTCAAGGCTGCAGTGAGCCAAGATCACACCTCTGCACTCCAGCCTGGACAACAGAGCAAGACCCTGTCTCAAAAAAAAAAAAAAAAAAAGAAGCGAGAGAAATAAAATACATGATTCTAAAGTCAAATGTGCAAAACAAGGTATATTCATAGAAATCCGGCTTCTACCCTCGTTGCCTTTGCCTTGTTGCTTACCTCTTAATTCAATAGGTAATTTTTTTCTATCATTTTTGGTTTATTCTTCGGTTTGCTCCTTTAAAATATAATCAAATGCGGGCCCGGCATGGTGGCACATGCCTATAATCCCAGCACTTTGGGAGGCCAAGGCGGGTAGATCGCCTCAGGTCAGGAGTTCAAGACCAGCCTGGCCAACATGATGAAACCCCTGTCTCTACTAAAAATACAAAATTAGCCCAGCATGGTGGTGCATGCCTATAATCCCAGCCACTCAGGAGGCTGAGGCAGGAGAGGAGACTCACTTGAACCCAGGAGCCTGAGGCAGCAGTGAGCCGAGATCACACCACTGCACTCCAGCCTGGGCAACAGAGCAAGACTCTGTCTCAAAAAATATAAATAAATAAATAAATGTAATATATTTATGGCCTGCCCCCTTAGATAAGTGATACCATACCATAAACTCTTTTTTCTACCCTTCTTTCTCCACTTAACAACATAACTTGGAGATTATTTCATAATAGTAATTATAAAGCTGGGCGATATAGAGAGACCCCCATGTCTACAAAAAATTTAAAAATTAACCAAGCTGGATGAGCAAATGCCTGTAGTCCCGTTACTCAGGAGACCAAGGTGGGAGGGTCACTGGAGCCCCAGATGCAGAGCTTGCATTGAGCTGAGTGCCACTGCACTCCAGCCTGGACAACAAAGCAAGACCCTGTCTCGAATTTTTTTTTAATTTAATTTAAAAAGAAAATTTTGAACAAAGATGAAACTTCGGAACTGTGCTACCATACTACTGCTCCTAGAACAAATGCAGAGTTTCTCAACAGTGTCGGAATGACATGATCTTAAATGAGATACTGGCAGTGGCAACAGAAATGTAAGAATTTGGAGGTAGAATAGACAGGATTTGCTCTCTACCTTTTAATTAGTTTCTAAGGTTGAGGGAGTAGGAGGGGAGGGTGCAAGGGATATCACAGATGACTGTAATTCCCAGTCTGGGCTCAACAGTAAGGTTGGTGACATCGGGCCCCAGCCATCCTTTCTATAGAGTGACAGTGACACATTTGCTCTTTGTTTTCTTTTGTGTGGCTAGTGTGCCCTGTAGTATTTACACCAAAGTCTGAAGCTTCCTGGAGGTCAGGAAATGGAGCCTGGGCTTTATCCACTCCCTCACTATTTTCCCTCCCATCTTACCTCAGGGCATCGCAGGCACAGATGTAGCAAAGGAGGCTTCAGACATCATCCTAACAGATGACAACTTCACCAGCATTGTGAAGGCAGTGATGTGGGGACGAAACGTCTATGACAGCATCTCCAAGTTCCTGCAGTTCCAACTCACTGTCAACGTGGTGGCCGTGATTGTAGCCTTTACTGGAGCCTGTATCACTCAGGTGAAGGGGGTGTGGGTGGGCTGAGACGGGAGGGATGAGTCAGGGGCTAAGGAATATGGGGTGGAGGGTACGGTGTGTTTACTGAAGAGTAAAGACAGGGTTTCCCTGTGACATTGGGACAGGAGTTAGCTCTTCTAAGTCCGCTGTCTTCATCTGCTTATGTGGAATGATGGTAACTTACAGGCCTTCGCTTAGCACTTACGTGTCAGCCACTGTAATAAGCATTTATATGCACTATCTGTATTCTTCAAAAGTGACCTTGTGAGGTAGGTATTATTATCCCCATTTTACGGGTGAGGAACTTGAGGCTCAAGGAAGTTAAGTAAGTTTCTCACAGTCACTCAGCTAGGAAGTGGCCAGATTCCAAGTCTAGGTGGGTCGTGGGAGCTAGGCCATCGACAGGGCAAAGGTGGGCTGGTTTCTGAGAAAAGCTAAAAGGACTGGTTCTTCTTCCCACCAGGATTCCCCACTGAAAGCTGTGCAGATGTTATGGGTTAATCTAATCATGGACACTTTTGCTTCATTGGCCCTGGCCACAGAGCCCCCTACGGAATCTCTGTTGAAGCGGCGCCCCTATGGCCGAAATAAGCCTCTGATCTCACGCACTATGATGAAGAACATCTTGGGCCATGCGTTCTATCAGCTCCTTGTCATCTTTATCCTTGTCTTTGCGGGTGAGCCACTTTGGGGGTGGGCTAGCAGCTGGGGTGCTGGTTAAAGGTGGAGGCAGAGAAAGAAGGTAGCGTGAGAGCAAGCACACAGACCAGGAATAAGTGCAGCTTCACCTCCCAGTGCTTCCTGTGCTCTGCTACATGGTGCATTATGCTACTGTATGTACTCATACAGTACTCTTGAGTACAGACAGTACTGTGTGTACCGTGTGTACTGTATGTACTCAATAATAATTTCACAAGGGAGGCTTTATTCTTTCTTTCTTTTTTTTTTTTTTTTTTTTTTGAGATGGAGTTTCACCATGCACCCAAGCTGGAGTGCAGTGGCGCTAACTCGGGTCACTGCAACCTCCGCCTCCCAGGTTCAAGCAATTTTCCTGCCTCAGCCTCCCGAGTAGCTGGGATTACAGTCATGCGCCACCACACCCGGCTAATTTTTGTATTTTTAGTAAAGACAGGGTTTCACCATGTTGGCCAGGATGGTCTTGATCTCCTGACCTTGTGATCTGCCCACCTCGGCCTCCCAAAGTGCTGGGATTACAGGCATGCGCCACCACACCCGGCCTATTTCTTTCTTATAGATGCAAAAAATTAAGCTCAGGTCCCATAATGAGTACATAGTTGCACTAAAATTTAAACCTGTGATTGCCTGACTCCAGCGCACATAGTCTTACTACCATGCTGCACTACATGAGAGCAGGTATCAATGCAGCAAACTGAGAGGGAAGGTAAAATAAGTCAAGACCAGAACTAACATTTGAAATATGTAATAACTAGTACAACAAAAAATTAGCCAGGCATGGTGGTGCATGCCTGTAGCCCCAGCTATTTGGGAGGCTGAGGTGGAAGGATCACTTGAGCAGGAAGGTCCAGGCTGCAGTAAACCGTGATCATGCCACTGCATTCCAGCCTGGGCGACAGAGTGAGACCCTATGTCAAAAAAATAAATAACTAGTACAGCTCAGATATTGATCAATTAGAATGGACACCAGCCATAAGCAAGCAGTATAGCTGTACCAACACATTCTGACTCTTAGTTCAGACCACACTTAACCTCCAGTGCTTCTCCTCTCCCCACTAGGTGAGAAATTCTTTGATATTGATAGTGGGAGGAAGGCACCTCTACATTCACCACCCACCCAGCACTATACCATTGTTTTTAACACCTTCGTGCTGATGCAGCTCTTCAATGAAATCAACTCCCGAAAGATCCATGGAGAGAAGAACGTCTTTTCAGGCATCTACCGCAACATCATCTTCTGCTCTGTAGTCTTGGGCACATTCATCTGCCAGGTGAGATTCTGTCTGCAGTTGGGGCAGGAGATCTGGGATGATAAAGGGCAGAAGCTGGGAGCCAGGGTTGCCTACATACCTAGGAAAAGGAATGAGGGAATTATGGGGACTGGGACAGGGCTCCCTATATACCTAAGAAAAGGAATGAGGGAACTGGGGGACTTTGGGATTCCCAATTTGCTTTCTTTTGCATATTGCTCTAGAATTGGAGCCCAGTGTGTCAAGAGCTCCAGTGCAGGGCAGCATGTTGACTGGAAATAAAATAATACTTCTAAAATCCTTTCATGATCTTTCTAAATACACACAAATTTCACAGAGTGACCAGAAAAAGTGTCGTTCTCTTCTAGTCCCTTTCTGTGGCTCCTGTCAGCCTATATGAAATGTGCATGCACATCTAGTATAGACTCTCCCCGTCCCTGCCTCTTTGTTCTGAAGGGCTTATGATAAAAAGTGTTGTGCAACTCAGAGAAAGAGAAGTAATGGGATTGTACACATATATTACATAGTCAGCCCAGCTTGCACTCCTCCGATACGAGACTATGAGCTGACTATGTAACAGAAGAGCTCCTGTCCCATCCCTCAGCAGGGTACCTCCCTTTATTTGTCCCCATCCTCAATTCCTTTTTTTAAATTTAATTTTAAAAATGGAGATGGGATCTCACTCTGTTGCCCAGGCTGGTCTCAAACTCCTGGCCTCAAGCAATCCTCCTGCCTCCCAAAGTGTTACTGTGCCTGGCCTTTTTTTCTTTTCTTTTTTTTTTTTTTTTTTTTTTTTTTTTTTTGTTTGTTTGTTTGTTTGAGACAGGATCTCTCTGTCTCTCTGTCACCCAGGCTGGAGTGCAGCCTCAATCTCCCAGGTTCAGACAATCCTCCCACCTCATCCTCAGTTCCTCACTCCACCACTGTACCTTCTCCTTGTCACTAACTGGCTTTTAGTCATAGGAAGCCTCCAGCTCCCCTAACTCCTCCAGATCGTCTGTGAATCATAGTTACAGTAACTATGTCTGTCTCCCCGTCACAGTGCTCTGTAAAGGCTGTTTTTGTCTGTCTCCCCTTTGAGATTTCTTCTTTTCCCTTCCCCTGTGAGCAAATCAGGACTTGCACCCAAGGATCCTGAGGCAGTGGGATGATGTGGCTTTGGGGGCCTTGGCTGGAGGGCCAGCTGCCTGTTAGTCATTTCCTTGATGGTGGGCTGCCCCTTTCTCTGTTCTAGATTTTCATCGTGGAATTTGGGGGTAAACCCTTCAGTTGTACAAGCCTCAGCCTGTCCCAGTGGTTGTGGTGTCTCTTCATTGGGATTGGAGAACTTCTGTGGGGCCAGGTGAGTACCGGCACACCCTCCTGGTGCATTCTCACAGCCTGCAGACCTCTCCTCCTCTACAGGAGATAGATCAAGCAACCGTGGAGACCCCCCAGCTCCTCCTTTTCATCTTCTCTTCTTTCTTCCCCACCGCCACTCAAATTTTCAAGTTCTTGCCATCTCAAAGGATCTCAAGGTGGGGTGATCACTTCAGAGGTTTCAGAATTCTCTAACCATGCCTGGAGGTAGAAAAATCCCTTAGCTTCTCTGAGACAGAAACTAAACTTTTCAATGGAATTTTGCTACAAAAAAATAAATATAATAAGCATCTTAGAAATAGAAGAGTTTACAAGACATGTGTCTTTATTCTCATGAGGCAGCAACCTGGCTGTGGGCTGCCAGGCTGACATAATTCAGGGCTCCCAGCCTCTTCTGTTTCTTGCCATGGCTTTATCTGGGTGGAATGCTTAACTCTTACCTGAGATAAATTCAGATTTACAAGATCTCTAGAGTAGTAGTGTGGCCTGTGGTTGGACTCTGGGAATGACTGTCTGGGTTTGAATCCAGCTCTCTTTTTTTTTTTTTTTTTTTTTTCCTGAGACAGAGCCTTGCTCTGTCCCCTTCCTCCATGATTGAAAGTTTTCTGAGGTC